TTTTCTCTACAACACGAACCTGGTGGTTCATGCCTATAATCCAATACTTGGGAGATAGCAGCAGGATAGTGAGTTTGAGACCAATTAAAATGACATAGTGAGAGTCTATCTCAACAAACCAAGCCAATGAAAACAAATCAACAGAACAAAACAAAAAAAATAATAAATAAAAACACAAGAAACACGGTGGCCTGTGCCTGTAATCCCAGCTACTTAGGAGATTGAGATTTGGAAAATTAGTTCAAAGTCAGCCCTGAGAGAAATGTCTATGAGATTTCATCTCCATTTAACCAGCAAAATTCTGGGCTGGCGATGTGGAGAGAGTCAGCTGAGCAAGAAAGCTAAGGGTAAATGTGAGGTCCTGAGTTCAAGCCTTGGTCCTGACAAAACAAACTAACAAAAATCTAAGAAATATATTTCCTGACTGGGATCAGTGAATAGTCTCTTTTCTCTTCTTTTCAATTTAGTTTAGAAATCGGAGAAGCATAAATTTACTTTACTTGGAAGTATGAAAAGCATAAATTTGGAAATTATTTTTATAGTCTATGTAGAGACGGGTCCTTTTCAAAAAGCTAGTCAACTTAGGCCAAATAACACTTCTCCCTACCTCCCCCTGCCCTAGCCATCTCTGACCAAACTTTGGGATTTTTTTAATTTTTATTTTTGCTATTCTGTATTCATCACCAACGTATCTCTGAGATAGATCATAGTAATCTTTGCTCCAGCAGATGTATAAATATATATATGCATGTGTGTATATATATATGTATATATAAATATACATAGATTATATATACATACATATGTATATATGTATACATATATACATACATATGTATATATATGTATACATATGTATATATAATCTATGTATATTTATTTAGATATATGTCTCTATAATGTACCCACAAATAAGGGAATATCTCTGAGATACTCTAAGTGTCATTACAAGGGCTGGAGGACACAAAGGAGGAGACATGATGAAAGTGAATCAGTTAGTAGCTGGGTAGGGGGAAGACAACAAAGACTGCTCCATACACGGGGATGGAAGTTGAAACCTGGCCTAGAACAGCAGCTACTAAATCACCAGACCCACCAAGACAAACTTATAAAAAAAACATTCTGCACAGCCTAGAAGGAACAAACACTTCCTCTTAGGGACTGTCTTCCTCCATACCCCTTGTCTTATCTCTCCCCTAAACTTTGTATTTTCCTTTCCCAAATTTTCACTATAAAATTTCTGTAGGCTCTAGGTCCTCCAATGTTTTTCCAACTGCTAGCTCACCCGGCTGTTGGTAGTTGTGGAACTTGTCCTAGGACTCAGCTATTTGCTGGCTACCATCTGTAACAGTCTAATTGTCCTTTTATTCTTGAGAAATCTGTCTCCAGAGTTTTGCTTTAACACTATTATACATGCATACATGCATATATATTTATAACTTGATATAACCATCATATATAGGCTGTATAGCTTTAGAAGAATTAAACACTCCATTTGATGGAGGTTTTCTTTTGCTTTTTCTTTTGGTGGTAGCAGGTTTAAATGCAGGATCTTGCCCTTGCTAGGCAGGTGATCTCCACCTGAGCCTCATTCCCAGGCTTTTTAGCTTTTGTTTTTCTTTCCTTTTTCCTTCCTAGTACTGTGGTTTAAACTCAAAGGTTCCTATTTGTTAGGTTGGTGCTCTACCACTTGAGTCATACTTCCAGCCTTGCTTTTTGCTGGTTATTTTGGAGATGGAGCCTAGCATCTTTTTCTGCTCAGGCTGGCCTGGAAATAGATCTCAAACTTCCAAGTAACTACAATAACTGGCATGAGCCACTGGTGCCTGGGTAGTTTTGATTATTTTGTATATTGGGTCTCATTTTTAGGATTGGGTCAACCTGGTACATGCTCCTCCTATTTATGCATCCCGTGTAGCTGCAGTAACAAGTGTGCACCACTACATCCAGCTTTTTATTGATTGGGTTGAGGTGATGAATATTTTTTTCCTCAGCTAGCTTCCAACTACCATCCTTCCAATCTTTGCCTGAGCCACCAGGCCTGGCTTGATGAAATATTTTTATATGTACATGTGTGGGCTTATAGAGAGTTTTTACATAAATTATGTTTATTTACATAAACTATGGCTATGATACTACCAGGCAATACACATTTTTTCGGCTCTGCTATTTTTGGGGGGGGGTCCGGTCATGGGGCCTGAACTCTGGGCCTGGGCGCTGTCCCTCAGCTCTTCAGCTCAAGGCTAGTGCTCTACCACTTGAGCCACAGCGCCACTTCTGGCTTTTTTCTTTTTGCTTATGTGGTACTGAGGAATCGAACCCAGGGCCTCATGCATGCAAGGCAAGCGCTCTACCACTGAGCCACCTTCCCAGCCCATGCTCTGCTATTTTCTTATGGGACTATTGTTGCATATGCAGCAATATGATGAGATGAGATTTGATGAGATTCTTTCCAATTCTCCTGTTGCCCATATACCCATGATTTTGCCAAGTGTTAAATTGTCTTTTGGCTCCTGCTGAATCCCACCTGCCTAGAGAAATCTCCTGTACTTTCAGAGTTGCACTAATAATTCCATACACTTTGTGTCTTTAGGAAAGACATCTCCAGTTCATCCTTTTCCTTCCATGGGGGTAACACATGTATGCACCAAAGGTAAAGTTGGGTCATGTTTTGTTTCTTCTCCATGTCCTATTTCACCCTTGTAAAAGCAGAAATGGGTGTCCTTTCCTCAAGAGCCTGCTTTGTGCCCATCCTGTGGCTGTGACCTGAGGTGGGATGGTGACTTAGTGAATGTGAGGCGCCACCAGCGTGGAGGTGGGTGCTGTCACCTCTGCCAGCCCGCTGGCCTCTCAGCTCCACCCAGTTCCCCAGTTTCCAGGACTACAGCACTTCCAAATGGGTGAGTTTTGACAAATGTAGGCTACCCATTTCTGCAAAACAAAGCCATGTATTTTAAGCTGAGGCATTTGCAGCAAAATTTAAATAATGTATCTAGAATGTATCAAATTGAATGCCTAATTAAATCCTTTTGGATTTCTTCAGTAGAACACTTAAGAACTGAAAGCCTGTTAACTTTGATTTTTTTTTTCAACTAACTGCCATTAACTGCGAACAAGATTCCTGCACTTCCCACTCCCAGGCAGTGCCAGGACAATGAGCCTGTCGGAAAGAAAGACCCCAGGTCCCTGTGCTGAGCCTCCAGTATCCTTTAATCAACACTGAATGCTTGGGGTAGAAAGATTATTTTGTGTGTGTATGTGCATCCTGGGGCTTGAACTCAGGCGCAGGGCACTCTCCCTTAGCTCTTTCACTCAAGGCTGGCACTCTACCATTTGAGCCTCACCTCTATGTCTAGCTTTTTGCTGGTTAAATGGAGCTAAGAGTTTCATGGACTTTTCTGCTTGGGTTGGCTTTGAACCATGATCCTTAGATCTCAGCCTCCTGAGTAGTTGGGATTATAGGTGTGAACCACAGGCACCCACAGCTAGAAAGATGATTTTTGTTGGGCCACAGCTGCTACTAAATAGTACCTATTATACTGTGAGCCAAAGACTGTACACATGCCATACAAACATGGGATCCTGAAATCCCCATTTAGAAAAAGGCATTCTTTTGATTAGGCTGGTACTGACTGCTGCTCTTATAAGGAAGAACAGCTCAAAGTTTATGTGTGACTGGAAACATGAGTGGGATTCCTGGGTGTTGAAGCCAGTGTGGTTGTCCTGGGGATGAGGCTCTACACCTGACAGTCTACTGCTTTTCCCAAAGTTTTGGGAGAAATAGAAGCACTGAGCAGCTTTGTTCTAGAAAGGCCTGGAGAGTCTGAGCTCAGCTAGGATAGTGTGAGCATGTCTGAGACACATTGCTCTCAGCAGAGAGCAAGCTCTTATTTGCCTCAAAGTGATTTCTGGCATATTTCAAAGGATAAAGCATCCTAATAGATGTTCTTTCATGTATCCCGGTTTTTATTGAGCAGGACATTTTTGAACACATCTTGCCCAGGCCCCCAGGACCGGCTACAACTCCGTATCCCTGAGTTGCAGTGACCTACCCGTCCAGAAGGGCCCCTGCCAGAGCACATTGTGCTGGGCGGTCACGGGTGGCAGAAACTGCTGGCCTCTCTTTCGACAACCCCCAGGACACATTTGCACCTCCAGCACTTTCCACACAAAGCGGTGCACGGTAGCAAGACCCGGGTGTAGTTCAGAGCCCAGCGCTAGGCCGCTTTGTAACCCCTCTTTCTATTCAGCCTCTGGGAGTCCAGGGAGAGATCCAGACGGGCCTGCAGTCCATGCTCAGTAAGTAAACCAGAAACGTTTGGGGCAAGTAAAAGAAGTATTAGCAGAAACAACCCTTTACTCTTTTGGTGAAAAGGAAAATGTGAGTAAAATGCAAGATGTATTTCTAACTTGTATTCGTTATAAGTTGCCAAACTTAGAGAGTTTGCCCTGTTGAAAAAATCAAGTTGGAAACATAATACATTGAAGAAGGAAAGATTACTTCCGCCATTGTTCTTGGGATGAAGGGCAACACAGATAATTTAGCTCAAACAGACCTTTAAACTGTTCATGTGTGTATGTATGTGTGCATGTGCGTGTGTGTGCATGTGTGTGTGCGCACGCGTTTTGTCTGTTGAGTCTCTGACTGTATAGCTGGCCGAGTGTTTGTACCAAATAATTGTTTTTGAGCATTACTAATGGACTTTGTCTAGGATAATTGCTGTGACTTTATTAGTGTGCAATAAATCACCCCAAATGGATTGCACAGTTAGCTTTCTGCAGTTGAAGTAAGCACAACAGAAATGGTGTAGAGGAATTCAATCAGAATAATGTCAGTGAGGCACATTAACTTTTCCCTACTTATGACCACAGCATAGGAGTCTGAAAATATTTTTCATTATTTGAAGTGGTTTTTTTCATAGCATGTAGAAATGGTGGGAGACTTGAATGACATTGAAAATTCTGGAAATGGGGAGAAGCAGACTAAAACTACGGGTACCAGAGATGTGAAGAGCCAGAGGAGTCCTTTAGGTAAGTCTCTGGATGGTCTGCATTGCTGAGCTTTCCTTGGGAATGGGTCTCCTACCTGTGGGGACAACCGGCTGTATTCACAGCACCATGAAAGTACATAGCTCCTCTGAGTACAGTGGCTTTAATTAACTAAAACAGAATTAAGTAAAATGGAAGGCTAGAAAAAAGCAAAAAATAATTAATCAACATTTCTCCTTTTATGTAACAGTGTTCTAGAAAAAAATCTCAACTGATTTTTTTAATTCATTTAAATGTTACAGGCAATTGGCTTTATTTTCCTATTTCTTTTCTTCCAGAATTTGGGCATATCCTAATTTTTCTTCATTATACACAGTGTTGACTATTTCATATATACAACTAGTGTAAGTACCACAACTACTGGTGAATTCCCAGTGTTACATACAAATTTTGGTTTGTGATGTATAAGGTCATTAGGGAGGAACAATCAAATTAGAGTCCCTAAACAAGACACCTACCCCACCCAGACCATGTCTTCTGCCACAAAGAAGGTTCAAGGTCTTTTCCCTCACTGTCTCTCATGGGAGCTCCATCTCAACTAAGTTTCCTAATGGGAAAGATGGGAGCAGGGGACTTGGATGATTTCTCTCAAATCAGCCCAGGGGCTCTGGCTTTTCCCTGTAATCCTAGCTACTCAGGAAGCTAAAGTCTGAAGATCAAAGTCAGCCCAGGCAGGAAAGCCCAACAAATTCTTATCTCCAATTAACCAGCAGAAAGCTGAAAGTGGAACTGTGGCTCAAGTGGTAGAGCACAAGCCTTGACCAAGAAAACAAAACAAAAACAAAAAAAAAACCCCAAGGGATAGCACTCAGGCTCTGAGTCTCAAGCCCTAGTACCAGCAGAGGGGGGGGGGGGAGGGACAGAGAAAAGGGGAGAGGGAGAAAGAGATGGAGGGAGGGAGAGAATATGAAATTTGAAGTCCCCCCTTGTCATATTTTATTGGGGGAGAGGGCACTGCTGGGTTTGAACTCGGAGCCTCACACTTGCTAGGTAGAGGTTCTACTGCTAAGCCGCATCTCTGGTCTCCCCTTGTGACATTTTAATGGCAAGACCCTGCAACTACAAAACCACACTTTGTGGATAAAAGGGAAATCTGAATATGGACCAACTCTCAGTTGATATAAAGGAGTTATTAGTATTTTAGGGAAAGATAATAGCACTGTAGTTATAGAGGGAGATGTTCTTATTTTTAGGCAGTATGTGTGGAGATGTGTGTCATGAGACCTAAAATTCGTTCTCCATATACATTGGAAACACAATATAAACTCAGTGATAAAGCAAATATGGTAAATATTGCAAATAGTTTGATTTAGATACTGAGTATATGTCAGTCTTTGAGCCAGTAAGTAGAGATTTTATGTGTCAGCTTGCAAATGCTACCAGCTGCAAATAAAACTCAGCTGGCCAGGGATTAAACCTTAAGAACATCGGTTCTTCTTTACTCAATGAGAATTTCAGTAGTCCTCATTAGGGTTGTAGTCCTCATTAGGGTTGGTTTAGCGACTCGGAAGCCAACCAGACCCCAGCTAATTCTGCCATTGGCCCCGCCTGCTCAGCAGGCTGGCTTGGGTCTTGTTCAGGCTGTGATTACAAGACAGCTGCTGCAGCTCCAGGCGTTGAGGCAGCACATCCACGTTCAAAGGCAGGATGTGGTAAGGAAGAGCAAAGCAAGCTCTCTCCTTGCCTTTACCTCTTCTATCAGAAAACAAAATCATTCCCAGAAGCCCACAGGAATCTTCTGCTCATTCCTCCTCAGTGGCTGGAACAGTCCAGTGCAAATCCTAGCTCCAGAGGAGTCTGAAAATTGAACCATTGAAAAGATTGATGTGCATTGCGATTCATCTCCTGGTGGGGTAGGAGTGCATTGTTACTGATTCCCAAATCGACTTCCTGTTAAGGAGGAAAAAGAGGAAATGACCACATTGCCCTTTGCTAACCAGATGGTATTTCCCTCTTGAAAGGAATTAGTTCTGTCTCTCTAGATAACAGAAGTCCAGACTAAATCAAGTTGATGTTTCAGAAGATAGATGGGACACAAAAGGAGGCTTTAGCTTTCTTGTCTTTGTGTGCAGAATCTCTTTAGCCTAATGAAATGGAAAATTTTACTCTCCATGAAAACTACTGCTCACTTCACTTTCAATGTACTTTTAAGATTATTTTCAATATAATGGCCTCCATGCAGCAGAATGAAATATATACGACTGCTCTTTGTATTGTTAGCTATAGTTTGTTAAGTGTCCTCTAAGTGCAGGGTACTAAAATAAGTACAAGTTCCCTCATTTATGCTAGAGGGATGGGCCTGGTTGTTACAAAAAGCCCTAAATTAAGTCTGAGTCATCAGACTTAATAAAGAAAGAAAACTGAAAGGCTTCAATAACGACTCTGATTTCTTTTTCTCCCCTGCCTGTGTGAACCCACTACAGGAAACTCTACACATCCCAGTTCTTAAAATGGATTGTTCTTATTAATTTGACAATAGTCATATCTAGACTTTTTCTATAATTCCCTCCAGTCCCCACTAGTCAGGCTCTGCTGGTTTATGCCAGTAATCTTAGTTACTTAGGAGTTGGAGATCTGAGGATTGAGGTTCAAAGCCAATCTGGGCAGAAAGGTTCATGGAATTCTTCTCTCCAATTAACCACCAAAATGCCAGAAGTGTCAGAAGTGTAATGGGGCATAGTGGCTCACTCCTGTAATCCTAGCTACTCAGAAGGCTGAGATCTGAGGAATGTGGTTTGAAGCCAGCCTGGGTGGGAATGGCTATGAGACTCTTTTCTCCAATTAACCACCTAAAAAACAAAAGTGGAGCTGTGGCTCAAGTGGTAGAGCAGTAGCCTTGAGTGGAAAAAGCTAACTGAGAAGGCCAGGGCCTGATTTTAAGCCCCAGCAGCAGCAGCAACACACACACACACACACACACACACACAACACACACACACACACACACACACACACACACACGTAGGTGAGTAACTTTCTTTTATAAAAGATGTGAGGGAGAGGGAGTGAACACAGTTGTGTATTCTGGAAAGGAATAAAAAGGAATGACTACATTCAAAAGGTCCTTGAGCACCCAGAAGCCCCTCACTTCCAGTCCACTTGTCTGATGGTGTTTAGTATGTGAGCTTCGTGGTTAAGGTTTACCTCATTATGATGGTTGACCAAGTGCTGCTCTGAAGTGTCCTGTTGTTCTCTAGATGCTGAGCCCAGAAAAAGCCTGATCTATTCTGTCTCTTGGCCATTTGTTGCATCTGATAAACTAAAAAGAGATGCAGCTAGAGCCAAGGCTGCTTTCAAGAGTCACTGATGAGCTAACTTCTACAGTAGAGTCGTGTGTTGAGGTAAAGGGACAGACACACGACTGGAAAACTAGCTAACCATGTCTGAAAGGAGGGACAAGCCAATGAAAAGGGCCAGAGAATTGTAGAGCATCTGGGTAAGGAAACAAGATTTAGAGCAAATTCACAGAGCAAACCTGGACCAGTGTTTGAGTAGAAGTTGTAGGTTCTTCTACTGATCTCTTTTCACTCACCTAACAAACATTTTCAAGGATGGTCCTGCATGCTGGGAGTATGGGAGGAAACAAAACAAAGGCTTTCTTCCTCCTCATGGAGTTTATTTCCTAGCAACAAGAGCAAAGTGTAAGCAAGATACAGAGTGAATTATAAAGAAATCACATAGCTTTTAGTTAACAAATGGTAATGAACAAGTCAATAAAAGGAGCTAATATAGATGCTGACCTTGTATGGCTACATTGGGATATAATTAAAAATGTAGTTTCTCAGTCACTCCAATGACAATTCCTGTCCTCAGTGGCCAGGCAGTGGCTATTCTGTTCAGCCCTGAGGCTGAATTCCCACCATTGCAGAAAGTTCCATTATTTCGTTGGTAGTGGGTAGAGGTACATGATTTTTATTTATTTGGGTTTTTTTTGAGAAAGGTTCTTTATGGTTGCCTTAGCTGGTCTTCAGTGATCCTGCTATCTCAGCCTCCTGAGTAGCTGGGACTACGTACAGGTAACACCACCATGTCCAGCTCCAATATACAAGTTTTCAGCTGAGTTGTCAGAGAAGATTGCACTTAAATGACAACTCTTTAAGTAAAGACCTGACTGAGTAGGTGGGGCTGATGGGTTTGAGCTGTGTGCTTTCAGGAATGAGGGTGAGGCAAGTGTGTGGACACACCATCTGTGGGGACGAGACAGCAGCAAAGGATGGGGTAAGAACAATAAGCAGAAGGAACAGATCCTGGAAGGACTGGACTTTTCCTGGATGAGATGAGACCTGCGAGAGGTTTTGAACAGAGTTGCATGGCCCTATATAGGTTTTTAATGGTGTCATTCAGGCTGCTATGATAAAGATAGATTGCAGGTGGGCTGAGGCCAAAGTGGGGGGAGAGAGGGACAAGTATTAGTGGAGGTAGCAGAGAGAGAGACAGAGAGGAGAGAGAAGGAGAGAGAGAGACACAGAGACAGAGAGAGAAAGAGAATGTGTACTAGTAATGGAGCTTGAACTCAGGACCTCAGCATTGTCCCTGACCTTCTTTTTACTCAAGGCTAGCACTCTACCACTTGAGCCACAGCTCCACTTCTAGCTTTTTGGTAGTTTAGTGAAGATAGGAGTGTCACAGAGTTTCCTACCTGGGCTGGCTTTGAATTGTGATTCTCAGATCATAGGTATGAACCACTGCCACCCAGTTTGAAGATTCCTGTCTCCTCATTTCCCTTATTTTTTCAAGTTTTGTTTTTGTTTTTTGAAGATTTGGGCAACATCATGACTGATTCAGGTATAGGTATGAAAGAGAGAAGAGTCCAGCATTTTCTTGTCTGAGCATCTGGAAGCCATAAGACACTGGCTTTGAGGCTCTCCCTCTTCCATTCCTTCTGGCCACAGGGAGGCTCCCTTTGGACTTGCTACCTTTCTCCACCTTTTGACTTCATACCCCTAACCTCTGGGTTTCTTGTTGGCAGTTATTCTTTCTCTTCTTTCCAAACCTAGAGAGCTTTGTCTACCACAGTCTTCATTACCAGATCAGCTCCTCCCTGTGTCCATCTCATTGTGCTCAGGGCTGACTTCCACCTCTAGGTCTTGTCCTGGTACCCACACTGGGCCAATGGACACTTCTATAGTCCTCCATTGCATTCCAGGCTGCTTCCCTTGGGATCATGCATTACAATATCATGGCTTGCTTACCTCTCCATTGGCTAACCTTGAGAAAAGATGGCTGCTTATTTCCCCCAAGAGTCACTCAATAGCATTGAGTACAGACCATTTTAAGTCAAAGAGAAACAAAATAAAAGTCCTGAGGAACCTCTAATTGGTTGGGCAAACTAATCCTTTTCTGTTACCTGTATTTGTATTTAGCATGGGGCTATTTTCCAAATGCAAAGTTATGTGAAACAGCATTTAATTTTCTCTGCATTACTGGGGAAAATTTTGCTTAAGTAAATAAACATATATACAGATAATGTTTTAGAATAATAACACCTGTGATTTGGATATGTGTTTTAGGAGCAACTTTGACCTACCTCATGAGTCCAAGATTTTTGATTTATGTAAGCTGTGCCTTATCGATCTGGGTAAGATGAAGAAAATGCAATTTATAGTTTTAGATGGTTAAGAAAATTGTAATATTAAGGATATGAGAATTTCTCAGAATAGTGGATGCAAAATGTGTGTATGTTTCTGCTTATGGAGCAGACAGAAAAATGCATAAAGCACATAGGAAGGCTTTTAAAGTGGATACCAAGGAACCACCCCAGCAAAGAGCTAGCCAACCTCCAGGACACCCCATCGCCTTCCTCAGCCAGAAAAAGTAACCATGGGCCTTATTTGGGGGGGGTCAGTTTGGGGTCAGGGCCTAGGTAATGTCCCTGAGCCTCTTTGTGCTCAAGGCTGGCACTGTACCACTTGAGCCACAGTGCCATTTGTGGTTTTTGAGTGGTTAATTGGAGATAAAAGTCTCACAGAAACTTTTCTGCCCAAGCTGGCTTTGAACTGTGATCCTCAGATCTCAGCCTCCTGAGTAGCAGTAGCTAAGATTACAGGCATGAGCCACCAATGCCCAGCTGGACCTCATTTTTTTTTTTTGGTTGATCATGGGGCTTGAACTCTTGGCCTGGGCACTGTCCCTTAGCTCTTCAGCTCAAGGCTAGCTCTCTACCACTTGAGCCACAGCACCACTTCCTGTTTTCTGGTGGTTTTTACTGGAGATAAAAGTCTCATGAACTTTTGTGCCCGGACTGTCTTTAAACTGCGATCCTCAGATCTCAGCCTCCTGAGTAGCTAGGATTACAGGCGTGAGCCACCGGCACCTGGCTGGGCCTCATTTTATAGCATTGGCTTCCTTGATTTTCTTTTTTTGGGTGTGTTTTTTAAATTGTTTTTGTTTTACTACTGTTGTAGACATCCTTTACTGATGAAGTTTAGTCTTTGAACTTTATATCCCGGAAATCTGACTATATAATATTCTATTTTTGCCTTTTGTCTTTTCCTCAGCATGGGATACCCATGTTGTTGTAAGCATCCCTGGTTTGCTACTTCTCATTACTGTATAGTATTTCATTGCACAACTGGTTTAACTCATCTTTCTGAACAATCAGGTGTTTTGTTTTTTGGGGTTTTTTTAACTTTATTGAGTCTTTTTTGTGTTATCTTTATTTTTCTAGTTACAATTTTTGCTCTTACCTTTAAAAATATAATTCTATTATTATTATTAAGGTGTAGTACAGAGGGGCTACCATCTCATAAGTCAGGTAATACGTACATTTCTTTTGGGGGCAATATCACTCCTTCCTTCACTTTGTACTGGTTTCCGCCTCCCATCATGCACACAAGTTACATAGTTCATTCTTCACCTAGTGTATACTGAATAGCATGATTGCATTTGTTCACCCTTCCCTTTCTGTGCCTTCCCCCTTGCCCCAACTAAATAACAAAAAGCAAAAGCAAAAACAAACACCACCAGCAGAACCACTAGCACCACCAAAACCCATGTTTCCATTTTCTGGATAGTCTGATCTTTTTTGAATGTGTATGGTACTGGAGATCAAAACCAGGCCCTTGCTTAGATTTTAGACAAGCGCCCTACCACTGAGCTATACCCTCAGTCTTCTGCTCTTACCTTTATTACTGCCTTTCTTCTATCCTTTGGGTTTCATTTGCTGTTCAATGTTTACCCCCACACCCTTTTTGGAAACAGGAATTCACTGCACAGCTCAATCTGGTACAGAAGTCACGGTCCTCCTGCGTCAGCTTCCTGAATGCTGGGATTAAGGCATGTACCAGTATACCCAGCTTCTATGTACTGAGGTTTTAGTTTTAAGTTTTTATTGTGATTGATACATATATTTATATAATATATATATATATATTCTGGGACATATATATATATATACACATACATATGTATATATATTAGTCCTAAAATTTGTATCTATTTCTTGGAAACTGGCCATGTCACTCTGTACTTTCCAATTCCCTGATCAGATTTCCAGAGTTGGCATTTATGTCTTTGGATAGAGTAAGTAAGCATTAAGATTTTATAGTTCAGGTCTGATAATTCAGATACTAGAGCTCTTAATAGGCCAATCTCTGTTGGCTGTTATTTAGTTGGATTTTACTCCTGGTGCTCCATTTCCTTATGTGAGTGGGTATCTTTGGTTAGGTCTCACCTTTTAGAATTATTGCTGGAGGACTTTGAGGCCAAAAATAACAGCTTCTCCCTTTAGTGAGTGGCCCCTCACTCACTAGGCCAGTCATTTGCCTATGATTGAAACTGCAATCGTTACTGGGCACTGCTGCTCATGCCTATAATCCGAGGTGCTCAAGAGACTGAGATTTGAGGATTGCAGCTTGAAGCCAACCTGGCAGGAAATCCCTGAAACTCTGATCTCCAATTAACCTGGCAACAAAACAGAAATGGAGCTGTGGTTCAAGTGGTAGAGCACCAGCTTTGAGTAAATGCTAAGAGATATCACCCTGGCCCTGAGTGCAAGCCCCAGTACCAGCACCAAACAAAGAAAAAACAAAAACAAAACTTCAATTGCTGGTGGAAATGATAATGCTGTTCAACTCAAGAATTAATCCTACTTCAAGGCTTGGATTGCCTGGACCCTGAAGATGAAGTATCATGACTAGGAAGGCAGGTTTTTTTCTAGTACCCCTCTTTACTCTAAGGGTAGAATGGGCTTGTTTTGTCTGTGGTCCATAGAACTGCGGGCCTACTTCACAGTTTTTGCTTCTCATCAGCAGATTATCCTCCAGAAAACCTTCTCTACTTTTATTCTCCTACATATTTGTTTGTTTGGTGTTTTTCTCATTAGCTGGTTGACTCTTTGGTGCATTTAAGATTTTTAAAAACACTTGTTAAAAATAGGGCCTTTTCAAGTTATATGTATTTTGCATAATGGTAAATTATAATTGTACTGCATAAAGGAATAGTTTTTACCTTCTTTGTTTTGAGTTCTTTGGAACAAATGCATGGTTCTGGATTTTAACTTGCTTCCGTCTAGTTTAGTTGGTGATGACCATGTGCTTTGCTTCTGCTGCCTGCAGGGAGACCGAATGTGGCACTTTGCTATGTCTGTGTTCCTGATAGAACTGTACGGACAAAACCTCCTTCTAACGGCAGTGTTCGGCTTAGTGGTGGCTGGATCTGTGTTAATATTTGGGGTCTTAATTGGTGACTGGATTGACAGGACGCCAAGAAATAAAGGTAATATTCTTTTGCCTGATACATGTAATTATGTGGTACATTATGACCTCACTAGCTGTGGGGATTTGTTTTATTTAGTGAAACAAAATAATAGAGCTGAGCTAAACTGCAGTAGGCATAACTTTATAATTCTATGCAAAAAATGCCATAGAAGGAATCATATAACTCTGTGACATATTTATACTACAGTGCTATATAATAAGTGTATGTTTGGTACTAGGGTTGATCCAGGCCCTTATGTTTGCTAACCTATACTCTTAGCCACATTTCAAGTATTTTAATGTGTTTTTTAAATCTTACCTATTTATTTTTTGTGCTATTAGGAATCAAATCCAGAGCCTCACATATACTAAGCAGATGTTTTACCACTGAGCTACACCTCTCGCCTTTAAGAAGTATTACTGTTGTTGTTTAGATTACTACCAAGTGAACATTTTAAATATTACATTACTGGAAAAACACTTGTGTGTGTATATGTGTATGTCTGTCTGTATATTTGTATGTATGTATGCATGTATATCTTTGCAACACAGTCTCACTATGAAGCCCAAACTAGCCTTGAATTTATGTTCCTCCTGCTTCAGCCTTTCCAATACTGAACTTCTAGGAGTATACTATTACACTTGGCACAACATGCTTTCTTGTAAGTGTTCTTATATTACTTATGTATAATGTCTGAGTTATTTTAATTTCAGAATTTCTGTGTGTAAATCATGTCTTTTGTACCAGATGGCATATCTAAACTAGAATTGATACTTATTTGCTCAAATTGTTTTCTTTTCACTTTTGGTCATATCTTCTCTCTTTTGGGAATGATAATGGGATTTGAACTCAGGGCCTCACATTTTGCTAAGCAAGCAATTCTCTCACATGAGCCATGCCTCAGTCCTGGTCTATTCATTTGATTACTAGTTATCATGGTATTTTTTTTTACATTACATTTTTTTTACATTACTCAGGAGCTAGAAAAGGCATTAGTTTGGAACCTCACCATGGAAAAGCCCAATTTATTTAAAATCTGGAATGTTGCCCTTTAGGCCCAATTGATAACTATAGTACAAACTACATCCAGAAGGATCACAAGCAGTAGAAGATTTCAAGTTCTCTAATTTGTTTGAATCTGGTTTCTCATATCATCTTTCTCTGAAAAGGCTCTTTTTTTTTTTTTTTGTAGCAGTACTTGGGCTTGAACCCTGGGCTCTGTCCCTTTGTCCCTTGGCTTTTCTGATCAAGGCTGGTGCTCTGCCATGTGAGCCACAGTTCCACTTCTGGCTTTTTTATGCTGCTTAATGGGAGATAAAATCTCATAAACTTTCCTCCTTGGGCTGGCTTCAAACTGCAGTCCTCAGATCTCAGCTTCCTGAGTAGCTAAAATTACAGGTGTGAGCCACTGGGTGCCCAGCTTTCCAAGTATGTTTTAATTCACTTACAAAACTGGTTTTTGTTTTGGTTTTTGTTTAAGTTGATTGCAAAGGCTTTTCAACCTAAGCCTGTGATTGCTGAAGAACCAGCCAGGGTCACCACTGGGATCTGGTCAACTGAAGTGGCTCTTATTAGATACCCATGTAGCTGTGTCCTGCCTCCTAAAACCAAGAGCAAATCTTGGGTGTTTCTGTTTGCAGTTGCTCACGCCTCGCTCTTCATTCAGAATGCCTCTGTCACGGCCTGCTGCGTGGTTCTGATGCTTGTCTTCTCCTACAAAAGGGAGATGGAACAAATCTGGCGTGGCTGGCTCACGGTGAGTGTCTCTCTCCCCTCCTGTGCCATGAGCACCAGTGTCAGACACACATCAAACCTCCATCATCTCTGCACCACCTGCTCCCTGGCATGGGATCTGGCTAATCTTCTAGCAATGCCTCCCCCACCCCCACCCTCCGACTTCTAATTTGTGAATCAAATCTCTCAGACATGGAAGCAGCAGAACAGACTTGCAGAATCTGTCTGCAGGGCATGAATTAACAAGGGATCTGGTGTAATGGTATATGGGGAAGAAAATGCTTAGCTTTAGTGGATGTTAAGCTTCAGACTTACTTCCAGCCTTTTCTCTCAAGGGTCTTTGTGTTCATTTACTTGCTGCTCAAGCTGGCAGATAAATAACAAAGTGTCACAGTGGGCTGGAAAGGCCTCCAAACTCTCCTTTCCCTCCTTCGGTAGGTAGTGTGCTACGCTTCAGTGATCACCCTGGCTGCCATGGCAAATCTGGCTGGCACGGCGCTGACCATCACCATTCAGAGGGACTGGATTGTGAGCCTCACGGGTGACAACCGAGGCCAGCTGGCTGGTGAGCCTGGCCCATCCTCAGATTAGCTGAGGAGCCACTCAGAACAGTGTGGCTACCTCCTAAGAGGCAGGATCATAGTCTGGAAAATAGAATTTGGAGCCAACCAGATCTGGGTTTGAATTCAGCTTAAACAAGCCAAGCATCTCACAGCTGCATGTTACTTTTTACCTGGGACAAGTTACTAACTTCTCCAGGCCCGACTCTCCAAAGAATGGAGCAAGTGAACACACACTTGCACATAAGTATGTGCCATACACACACAGTACCAGACACACTCACAAATAGACCACACACATGCACATATATTCATGTGTACATAAATGCATGCCACATGTATACAACCCACAGAATATATACCCCCACCACACTCACATATACACATTCCATACACATATACAAATATATATACACATACATACCACACATATGCACACATAAGCACACAGACACACAGATATATACACACTTTACACATAAACATATATACATACTACACATATTGCTATTCACAGATCACAACATGCACACGTATGCACACCTAACACATGTAGTACACACACACGCATACACACACACACACAAACCAACCCCCCTCCTTCCGCCCTGGAGCTCACTTTGGGAAGGAAGGAGTTTATGGCTTCTGGTATTTGTTAAGTGTTTAACAATATTTCTGCAGAGGAAATGAGTAAGAAATGGCTCACTGCTAATTACTGAAAGATAATACTGTGTGTCAGGGTAGCAACCTGTTTTCTTTTCTGTTTTTTTTTTTTTTGAGACAGGATTTCATCATGTAGCTCAGGCTGGCTTCCAACTCATAGCCCTTCTGTCTGCTCCTCCTGAGTGCTGGGATTACAGGCAGGCACCACCATGTCTGGCTGAGAGGAGCTTTTTATTTGCAAGAGTTCCTTGGCAAGTCAAAATCTAAAAAATAAATGATTTAAAGGTGTTAAAATTCTGGCTAGTGAAAAGCTTTACCTTTCAAACAAAAATTATCCTTAAAAAGTGATCGATTGTTGTTTATAACAGACAGCCGAGGTAGAATTATTTTCCAGGAAAGGTGTTCAATGGAAGAGTACAACACTATCTTTACTTTGTCTTCCATTTGCAAGACTTGGGAGGCTCACATTGTAGTATCTCCTAATTGCCCACTTATAGCTGACGATTTCACCCTACCCTGTATTTGTACACTTGGTGCTGTGCTAGTTTTGATGGCCAACATAAAGGAAGCTATTAAGAGGGAGTCGATGAAAGTACATGTCTCACAGAGAGTAGAAGCCCCTTATAATCATGTTTCCTTTTAAACTTTACGGATGTGGCTGTTCTGTGGCTTAAATAACACTACCCAAAATAAAGCACTTATGAGAGTGAGAGCTCGTGATGGTGCTTCTTATGTCCTCTTTCTCTGGGTAAAGAAAAGCTTCCTATCCTCTGCTAATTAATTTTAAAGAAATCTAAGGTAAAGCACAGAATCTAGTTCCAGGTCATTATCATTTTTAGAAAATGAACTTGTAAACAGTCTTAAATGATGGTGGAATACTTAAGAAAACAAGCTTTGGAGTAAGACTGCTGGGTTTGAATCTCAGCTCTACCAATTTCCTTCTCTGAGACCTGGAGCATGGTGCCACTGTGTACTGTAACTTCCTGACTTGTTAAGAGTAAATTCTCTTGATTTCTTTGAGCTATGAGGACTAAATGAGTGAATCTACATAAAGGGCTTAGAACTTGGTACCTGACACAGAGCAAGAATTCAACTCATTCTCATCTTTCCTTTTCCCTTGTTCCCCTACCCCCATTTCTATATTAGGCATAATAGTGACTATTAATATTGTCCTTGTTAAGGTAAGTGAAGTGCAATGAGATGTGACTTAGAATGATTAGCTCTAGCCAGGCACTAGTGGCTCTTACCTGTAATCTGACCTACTCAGGAAGATGAGATTTGAGGATTATGATTCAAAGTCAGACTGGGAAGAAAAGTCTGAGATCCTTCTGTCCAATTAATCAGCAAAAAGCCAGAAGCAAAGGATTGACTCAAATAGTAGAGTGCTAACCTTGAGCAAAAAATGCTCAGGGACAGAACCCAGGCCCTGAGTTCAATCCTCAGTACCAGCACAATCAATCAATCAATCAATCAAAGCAACTTAGTCTCCCTGTTCCTCAGTTTACTAATCTGCCAGTTGTTCTAGTCCACCAGAGCTGATCTCAAAGTTGGTTTTTCAGGTTTGAATCCTAATCTATCGTTAAACCAAAGAGTCTTTCTGGCTCTCAATATCTTTTACCCTGTAGCAATGGAAAGTCTGGCCAATATGTGGTGGTAAATTCACCTGTTGATGTGTACATCCATTGAGTCGCCATGTTTCCCCCTCTCATTCCAGGGATGAATGCAGCCGTCCGGCGTCTGGACCAGGTCATCAGTATATTTGCCCCCCTGTCCGTGGGGCAGGTGATGACGTGGGCATCTCATGTAATTGGTTGTGGTTTCATTCTTGGATGGAACTTGCTTTCACTTCTTGTGGAGTTTCTATTTCTGTCCAGGGTTTATCAACTAGTTCCCCAATTGGCTGTAAAACCCCAGCAACGCTCAGGGGGGCATTTTCTAGAACGGCCACAGGAAACTGTGAACATCCAAGGTAATGCAAATTCAGAGAGACCTCTTGTTTAGTTCCTTATTCTTGTTGTAAGCATTTCCCTTTTGCTTTCCAGAGCTTGTGTCCAATTACATGCTTAACGTGTTGTATGAAATGTGCTAGACACAGTGATAAATGAGAAGCCAATGAGATAATATATGAGAAATGATAAATGGCCATGCCACTGGTAGTACAGGTCATAGGACTGATCTTATTGATGGGGACAGACAATGCTATTTTGTATAATTACACAGATTGTGCATTGCCTAAGTCTACTCAGACAGACTGTATTGTAAATAGCACTCTAGGGCTTGTGAAATGTACAACATATACAACCTATCCTATGGTCCTGGAGGGCAGATTACTCCTTATTTCCTTCATAATCATCTTCATCAAAGATGCTAGAGTAAGAGAAGGCTGGATGTTGGCGGCTCATGCCTGTCACTCTAGCTACTCAGGAGGCTGAGGTCTGAGGATCATGATTTGAAGCCAACCTACAGAAAAGTCTATGAGACTCTTATCTCCAATGAACCACCAAAAATCCAGAAGTGGAGGTGTGGATCAAGTGGCAGAGCTCTAGCCTTGAGTGGAAAAAGCTATGGAACAGTACCTAGGCCCTGAGTTTAAGCCCACACACGCACACATGCATACACACACACACACACACACACACACACACACACACACACACACATACACACACACCACAGAAAGGCAAGTGTGTTAAGGAAAAAGGAATGTGGGTACTCTTTGGTCAGGATAATTTGATGATTGAGAATCCTTGTTCTCAACGACGTAGGAACCATCACTGACTATCAACAACATTGCCCTTCTACTGGTCCAACACAGTGCAGGAGTTGCTTCTGACTCAAGTTCCCTTTACAAATAATTCTCTTTTCTCCCTGGTTGTTTTGAATTAAGGCCTAGCAAAACCCAACCGCATGAATGAAACATGTGGGTATTAGTGCAGATAAATAGATAGATATACCTATTTAGCTGATAGATGGATACCTAAGCCCTTGCCTTCTTAGCTGCTCATGCACTGCCTACATAACATTGTGAGGTTAATTTATTTAGATTCTCTGTCTGTCTGTAAAGTACAGCAATGAAACTGTTTTCATCAAGATATTGTGACAATCAACTAGGACAGTCTATGCAAAGCCTTATGACATGTGGTAAAGCTTGTCAATGTTAGCTATTTTTTATTGCTTTTGTTATTTTACTAGATTTTTCTCCAACTTGCCCAGGCAAAAAATTAATTCCTGTAATGAAAATCTATCCCTACTACCTCATTCTTGGACTGTAATGTATTTGGCTGTGTGTACATTCTCCTCCCTCAGATTCCTGTCAGCTTCAGCTTCAACTTTTGCTGATGTTAGCTTCATTTATGTGGAATCATTCTCACCAATAGTTATATATTTTCAGTCTTATAGTCATTGTCTGACATAACCTAAGAGACTGAAAGATATTCACACACACACACACACACACACACACACACACACACACACACACACATCTCCATATAAGTATATGCTTCTTCTATGTAATAGCTCAAAGAAGTATGTCTCACTGCTTCTGGGGGCTCATTCCCAAATTTCAAACATATCAAGTTTTCCCCCGGGTCTCTGCCCAACCTCCGTTTCCCATGCCAGCTCTCTTGATGGGGTACTGTGTCTTCATTTGGGTGGTCTCAAGAACACCTCTTGAAACTTTGGGTGAGAATGAGCTATTTGGAATGAGACCCCAAGAAACTTAGTGGAGGAATGGGAAGTGACAGAGAAGTTTTTGCATGAGGGGACTTGCTGAGAGACTGCGGGATGGAGCTCAGAAATAGGCTCAGGCACTGGTGATCCTATCTGTAATCCAAGCTACTCAGGAGGCAGAGATCTGAGAACCTCAGTTCAAAGCCTAAGTAAAAAGTCCCTGAGACTTTTATCTGCAATTAACCACCCAAAAGCTGGAAGTGAAGATATGGCTCAAATGGTAGAGCACTAGCTTCAAGCAAAAAAAAGCTCAGGGACCCTGACCTCAAACCTCAGGACCAGCACAAACACAGAGAAGGGGCAGGGAAAGAATATTGTCTCATCAATGGCCTGGCAAGCTGGGCTGTTTACCTAGCACCTATGTCACTCATTGTTACAGTTGTGACCAGGGATCTTTCACAGCCTACCCCTTGCATTCTAGGACCTACACAGAACTCTTTAGGTGGACTGACACAGAGACTTGGTGACAGGAAGACATGAGTGTGTATAGGAACTGCTCAATACAGAAACAGATGAGGCAAGGTTAGGATGAAGGATATAGCAGGGTGTGGCCTTCAAGCTTGCCTCAGTTTGATTTGTGTGTGTGTGTGTGTGTGATTATTAGTAATTGTATAAAGGGGTTACTATTCAATTTTATTGTAGGTGAAACAGACTTTTGGGAAACTACTGCCGGTTTCATCCACAAATCCAGATCTTTAGACAAACCGAAAGACCACAAATCTAACCTTGAAGGACAGTGGAACACAGCCAGTGGGTTTCGCCTTTGCCTTCAAACCATGCGTAGGCTGCTCCACACATGCCGTGAGGGCTGGGAGACATACTGCAGGCAGAGCGTGTTCCTGGCCGGCCTGGGCCTGGCATTCCTCTACATGACAGTCCTGGGCTTTGACTGCATCACCACTGGCTATGCCTACACCCAAGGGATTGGAGGGTCTCTGCTTAGCATCCTCACAGCTCTCTCTGCTTTATCTGGCCTGCTGGGCACAATTCTCTTCACTTGGCTCCGGGGTCATTATGGTCTTGTCACCACAGGCATCATTTCCAGTTGGCTTCATGTAGGATGTCTAACGCTCTGTGTGTTTTCTGTGTTTGCTCCTGGAAGTCCTTTTGATATGGCTGTCTTCTCACTTCCATTAAACAAGAATTCTTCTTCAAACCATGAGTTGCTAAAAGAGGACCAGGTACATGTGTACTCCTTTGAAAGAAACCTGAACCAACCCATCCTTCCAGACCGTTCTTCCATCCACTGGACCAACAGCACCGTTCTGTTTAATGGACAGCAGGACCCTGAGCAGCCTGAGTCTTACATCTCCATCATTTTGCTCTTCTCAGGTGTGATCCTGGCAAGAATTGGTAAGCAGTGGGCTGTGTGTGGTGGGGATTGTGCAGCCTGTGATGTTGCTAACTTACCATCCATGCATGTGATAGCCTTAACCACTATGCCAGTGTGAGTCTTCATCATCCACTGAGAGCCTATTATATGACAAGGACTCTCTCACACATGGTAGAGATACAGGCAAGGTCTTAGTCCTGTGGGGTTCTCCATCTGAACTAGAAACCATTAAGTAACTAACAACAGTTAGCATGATGGCCAAGAGGGGCTATGTTAGAGAAGGGAAAACACACACAAGGAACTCCAAATTGCATCTTGAGGGTCTAAGAGGCCTTCTTATGGTGTAGGGGAGGCTGATCAAAGGCCCCTGGAGGACAAGTTTGGGCATGCATTGACGCTCCAGAGGTGCACAGTGGAGGTGCAAAAGATTTTGGAAATTGCAAAGAATGTAAGCTAGACACTGCTGGCACTCGCCTGTAATCTTAACTATTCAGGAGGCTGAGATCTGAGGATGAAGGTTGGAAGTCAGCCTGAGCAGAAAAATCTTTGAGACCCTAATCTCCAATGAACCACCAGAAATCCAGATGTAGATGTGCAGGTTAAGTGGTAGAATGCCAGTCCTGAGTGAAAAAGGAAACTAAGAGTATGAGTTCAAGCCCCATTACCAGCACATGTGCACAAGCATACACACACACACACACACACACTTGAAAAACTGTACTTGCAGGGCATCAAGCACATACATGCTACCTACTGCAGATGGTGTATATGTGGAAGGTATGTTTTGACCTGAATCTGTTGAATATTGGTAGAACTAGTATGAGGAGAGAAGAAAGGGCAATTTCATGGAGAAGATGCTGCTTGGGGGAGGGAGATGGACAATCTTCTCACAGATAGGGTGCCTGACACTGAGGCTACAAGCTTGTCTGCCCCACAGACCTGGGTTCTGAACTTTGCTGTCTACTGTATCCTTCATTTCTAGTGGTGGGAATGTACCTGCTTTCATTAGAGTGCTTAATAAAACAAAACGAAAAACTAGCTGGATGCCAGTGGCTTATACTTGTAATCCTAGCTACTCAGGAGGCCAAGATCTGAGGATCATGGCTTTGGAAACAGCATGGGCAGGAAAAGTCCGTGAGACTCTTATCTCCAATTAACCATGAGAAAAATGGAGTAGAGCTGTAGCTCAAAGTGGTAGAGTGCTAGCATTGAGAGAAAAAAAAAACCCACAAAAAAAACAAAATACAAACATAAAAAAAGCCAAAAAATCCCAAGGACAGTGTCTGAGTTCAGGCCCTGAGTTCAAGCCCTATGATTGACAAAAAAAAAATTAAATAAAAAACTATTGGACCTTCCATGCTTGGCAACCCCAATAATGACTTGTTGGGGAGCAACGGTGGTGACAGAAAGCAACTAAAAGCTCCTGTAATCAATGTAATCAGGCAATCATGAGATGGAAAGAGTCTCACTGGGTGCTGTTGGTTCATACCCGTAATCCTAGCTACTCAGGAGGTTGAGATCTGAGGATCACTGTTTGAAGCCAGTCTGGACAGGAAAGTCCATGAGACTCTTGTCTCCACTAAGCTATAAAAAAAGCTGGAAGTAGAGCTGTGGCTCAAGGGATAGAGTGCTAGCCTTGAGTAAAGGAGCTCAGGGATAGTGCCCAGGCACTGTTCAAACCCCACTGGCACAAAACAACAACAAAAGGAGGTCTGGGCCTTGTTCTTTGACATAATTGGGTTTGTACCCTAACAGTATCATCTCTTAAATATATTTTTGTTTTGTTTTGTGAACTGGGTCTCATTATGTAGCCTAAGCTGGCTTTGAACTCAAGATCTTGCTTCAGCCTCCAATGTGATGGGACAATGTGATAGTGAGCCACTATACCTAGCTCAAATGGTACCATTTATTTTGCCCAAGCCTGTCTCCCACTATCCAATTGCAAAGTCACCACCTTCAAAGGCCCTCCCTGACAGCATAGTTCAGCCCCAGGGGCTTTCCCACCCTTTCCTCAGGTCAGAAACAGAGGGAGTGTCAAGTGTGGTGGCAGGTAGTGAAGGATGTGGATGGAAGCCCAAGCATGTCTTTCCCATCCATCAATAAGCTTTGTCACATACTCACCCGGGTACCACATTCATTACTTCAGGCACTGATGCAGCACAAAGTCCCAGGGTCTTCGAGCATCTTCTTTGTCTTGAGGCCATGGTGGAGGATGGGAGGATTGTATTCCTGATGTCTGCAACATGGATTCATGAATCCCTTGTTCTGTAGATTAGAAGAGAGGAAATGAGAGTTTTTAAGGTCCATATCAAGCAGTTTTAAAAACATAGGCTAAAGGTCTGTGAAGGTAGCTCAGTGGTAGAGTGCTTGCCTTGCATGCACGAGGCCCTGGGTTTGATTTCTCAGCACCACATAAGCAGAAAAAGCGGGAAGTGGTGCTGTGGCTCTAATGGTAGAGCACTAGCCTCGAGCTGAAGAGCTAAGGGACAGTACCTAGACCCACAGTTCAAGCCTCATGACCTACAAAAACAAAAACAAAACAAAACAAAAAACCACAGGCTAGGCTTGGAACCACATTCCTCTGTTGGAAAGGAAATGTAAAAGAAATTGTACCAGACAACTGACTTAGAAACCTATTTTTTTTCACCTAGAGATTATTTGGCTTACATATAGTTTCAGTGAGGTACCTGATAAGAGGATGATCTTTTCCATTGCCTTGGATTTGTCTGTCTACCTTTTCATCTCATAAAAAACTAGATTGGCCACGTAAGATTTATACAATGCATATTATAATGTGCTTAAGGATTTCACTGTAAAGGGAAAACAAAACAGTCCGCCAGGAACTGCAGTCCACCAAGATCCCTGGCTTTCCTGATGCAAAGGAAATGACCACATCTGGCAAACATGGGTGCATCTATGGAGCCTGCAGTCTGGGAAAGTTTGGCCTTTGCTGTGGCAGTAGCATTTTTCTCACTGTGTCCTGCATGAGAATTCCAAAGACAAAGGTCTCTCTTGATACTCTGTATGTGTGTGTGTGTATGTATTTATGTATGTATGTATGTATGTATGTATGTGTGCATGTATGCACTAGACTTGAACTCATGGTCTCCAGCCCTTGCTCAGCTTTCTTGCTCATGGCTGGTGCTCTACTACTTGAGCCATGCCTCCAGTTCTGCTTTTTTGCTGGTTAACTGGAGATAGTCTTAATTTTCTCTCCAGGTTAGCTTCACACTACAATCCTCTAGAATAGCTAGGATTACAGGCATGAACCACTTGTGCTTTGCTCTTGTTGATGCTGATACAATCAAGACCTGCAGCCAGGATGCCTCAGTCACTATTTCCTGATCTGTAAATGGGTAATGGGGAAACATACCTCCCTACCAGGGGGCCCTGAGAAGCTGCCAAGATAACTCCTATAGGTAATGTGCTTAGACAACACAAGATACATGTTAAAAACAGGTTGGAACACTCATCTTCAGTCACCACTGTCAGCCCTGTATTTTAGCTGTGATTTTGGTGCTTTACCAGGGCTACTTTGGGGGAGGGGCATGACACTGAGTCACAGGGAATCACAGTGTTAAAGGATAATGCTTAAGACCATGTGTTTCTATTAGGATTACAAATGACCTTGGGGTTGATGGTGTGGTGTTGACCTGCCAACAACAAAAAAACAAAACCAAAACAGACTGCTGGTGCCCAGAAGGATGCAGTAGCTATGCCTCTGTTGGCAAGGCCAGCTTCCATGCTTAGTAGCCATGGATGCCTGGTCCTCTCAATGTTGCGCTGTGGCCAGCCTTGTCTTTACCATGTATCCCCTAGGCACAGGCTCCACTGGGACTTTGCTCAGTGAAGTGGTTTTTCTACTCTAATGGAAGCAAACTTGCTTCTGCCTACAATAGCAATGGCACATTGCTTAAAAGCTACTTCCCTTCTTTTAACATCTAAGAACAGTAACTCTATGCCCTTGATTTAGAAAGAATTCTCCATGCATAATTAGCCCTCACTTCCTGGAGCACTGCACATAGTACCATTGTAGCATTGTACAAATCGTCTCTGATTTTGTAAGCCATGCCTGCTAAAGGCCAGGGGTAAGGAATTTACAGCTGACCTCTGCTGTAATCCAAGCTGGGCTGTGTGGGACATGGGTTTCAGCAGGGCCATTTGGAGAGTGTGGGGCTTCCAGTGAGGCCAGGATAGCCCAGAAGGTGAGGGACTGGGTAAGGAATGTGGGGGCCACAGCAGGGTAACTAGAACTGTCTGGGAGAACAGAGGGTCCAGCCAACTCTCTGTAAAGGTGGATACTGGAGGACCTAGCATATTACCTCTAAATGATTCAAGTCCGGAACTAAGGTCTGGGACCAAGACCACTGCTAAGTCTTGGGAAAAGCCAGAGGAATCCTGGCTAGGAAACCTGGTAGCTGCTTCAGAAACATGATAATGTAGCCTTTGGATGAGTAGCCTTTCATGCTTGAAAATAGGAAGGAGAAACAAGGGGTTGGTGGCTCATACCTGTAATCCTCACTGCTCAGCAGGCTGAGATCTGAGGATCACAGTTTGAAGCCAGCCTAGGCAGAAAAGACCATGAGACTCTTATCTCCAGTTAACCACCAAAAAACTGGAAGTAAAGCTGTGGCTCAAACGGTAGAACACCGGCCTTGAGTGAAAAACTTAGGAAACAACACCCAGGCCCTGAGTTCAAGCCCTAATACTGGTGTAAAAAAAAAAGTAGAAAGATGTCAGGAGCTCAATTTCTCATCTGCTAAGGCAGGAGTAAACAGGGGAAAAAATCTGGAATTGAAGTTGATTTGAATCCCAAGATTTTGGTCTCTAGTCTAAACATTTTGCAATAAAGTGGAAAAAATAAATTCATCTAAACATCTAAACTGAAGTTAGGGTCTATATGATAATGGTTAATGTGATGGTGATTCACAAAGATCACTTAGCTGGGTTTGGCATCACATGCCTATAATCTCAGCACACAGAAGGCTGGAGCAGGAAGATCTGAAGGGCAGCTCAAATTATATAGCAAGCTCTTGTCTCAAAACACAGAAAACAAAGCCAAAGCAATTTATAACACATCAAATTTTGAAAGTAACTCCCATGCAGGAAGGCCAGACACAGCGCTGCACATGTTACAGTGCTCCTGTGGAATCCTCCAGTGAGTGAGTATCTAGTTCTGTTCCCCAGATGAGCAGCAGAGTTACACTGACCCAAGGCAATCACTCTAGCTAGTCCTCTTCACCTACTCACGTTTATTCTTCCCTGGAACTGCTGTCCTACAGGTCTCTGGTCATTTGATCTCACTGTGACTCAACTTCTCCAGGAGAACATTCCAGAAGCAGAGCGAGGGGCTGTGAACGGCGTGCAGTGCTCTCTGAACTACCTTATGGATCTCATTCATTTCGTCCTCGTCCTGCTGGCCCCGAGGCCACAGCAGTTTGGCATGCTGGTCTTCATCTCCATACTGTTTGTCACTACAGGTCACGTGCTGTATTTTTTTTATGCAAGGAAGTGTAAGATGAGAAATGCCCATGTGAATAAGACAATGAAAAAGAGCACATGGACACCTCCAACTTGAGAGGTAGGCAGCCCTGCTCAGCTCTCGCGATACTAACCCCCCCCCCCCCAAGACTGTGTTGTCTCTACCCCATCACTGCCCTTGAGAGAAAAGTGCCATCACCTTGTGCAGACAGCATGGATTGCTTGAACATGTTCTCACCCTGGTGGGACTGCCTGAGTGTGAAAGGGTCACACCCACCAACTACAGGCAGAGAGTCACTCCCAAGCACTGCACAGGGCTGCTTTGCATTTTGCCAGTAGAAGAATGGAATGTTTTCAGATTTGCCTTGCTCCCTTGGAATCTAAAGTTAGAATACTCTGGTCGATGTCAAAACTCTAGAGATGGAGCATGATTACTGATGTTTGATCTCAATTCTTTGCCAGGTGTTTTCTCTTTTTTTTTCCTTCTTCAGCTAATTGGTGAATGGACTTTAGTCAAGCTAAGGGCCCCTATTGAAGACTAAAGCTGTTTGTTGGGAAAACAGGTTATGAGAATCACCTTTGTATGGTTTATGGACTCAAGCCAGGCCAGAGATCTGATGGTCCCTTAGCCAACTTGGGCAAGCTTCAGCAAGCTCTGATAAAGAATGCCACTAATAAGGTGTGGTGGTTCATGCCTGAAATCCCAAGACTCAGGAGGCTAAGGCAGGAGGGTTATGGTTTGAGACCAGCCTAAGATACATAATAAGACTGTCTCAAAAGTCTGAAAATGGGGCTGGGAAGGTGGCTCAGTGGTAGAGCACTTGCCTTGCATGCATGAGGCCCTGGGTTCAATTCCTCAGCACCACATAAGCAAAAAAAAAAAAAAGTCTAAAAATGCAGCCAGGCACCAGTGGCTCGTACTTGTAATCTTAGCTGGTCAGGAGATTGAAATCTAAGGATTGTGATTTGAAGCCAGCCCTGGTAGAGAAGTTTGTGAGACTCATCTTCAATACAAATTATATATATATTCATTCTGTGAAGCTGTGGCTCAAGTGATACAGCACTAGCTTAAAGGCACCACCCAGACACTGAGTTCAAGCCTTAGGGACCTGAACAAAATTTAAAAAAAAAAATCAAAACATGAATGTTAGTAGTTTGTGATGAACAAATTGGGAGTCACTTACAATCAATAACGCTAGCTTTATGAGGAAGCTAAAAGAAAATCTATTATCTCTGTCTTAAAATAATACTAAGAACTAGAGCACTCGCAATAAAGCCCTCTTAGGCCTCCTAGATTGGAGACCCTTTGAGTAGGAATGTGATAGACAGAAATTGCCAGCAGCACCCTTGGGAGCACCTTAGCAGGTGGGTGTTGATGGGAATGATACATCCTAAGATGGCATTTCCCAATTGCTGCAATCCTCAGGTCTCAGCCTCCTAAGTAGCCACTGGCATCTAACCAGACTAGCCTTTGTTATAGGGGAGGTCCTGTATTTTTGCAGCATCTCCTATCTCTTCCCACCAGATGCTTAGTAGCAACCCCATACACACACACACACACACACACACACACACACACACACACACACACACACACACACCAAATTGTGACAATCAAATATCTCTGGATAATATCAAATATCTCCCCAACTAAGAAACAGTGTCGAAGAGAGATATGAAAACTTAAGGGAAGATTTTGTTCACTGTGAAGGCTGGAAATGTTGCTCATTTGTAGAGCACTTGCCTAGTATGCCTGAAGCCCTGAGTTTAGAAGAAAGCAAAACATCATTATTAGGTCCAAGAAAACTACAAAAAGAGAATCTTACACAGACCTGATTTTTAGGGCAGTTGAATAAAACAGAGGGAAGAAGAGAATGTCATGGAATGTTTTGCTTAACATAGGTAGTTAAAAAAAGAGTACTTTATACAAGTTCTGATATTTATGGTGCTACTTTCCCAATGTTTCTCCATCCATAAAAAGCCCCCAAACTATATTACTACAGAGAGAGAGAGAGAGAGAAAGAGAGAGAGAGAGAAGACTAAATCAAGAGACCAGAACTATTCATTTGAATTTTTCACTAAGGAAGTTGAGACAGTTTTTATATTTAACCCAGGCTAGCCTTGAACTCTTGGTCCTCCTGCTTCTAGTCTCCTGAGTGCTGGGATTATAGGTGTACCACACCAGGCTCAGGACGTTATATTTTGATGAGACTCACTATGCCAAATCCTTTGGTCTTGATTACTCTCATGAGCACACAAATGTTTGTGAAGAGCATAGAACAAGAGTGTCCAAAAAAATACATTAAGCCTCATGTTTAAAATCTCCAGCAGCACAAGCAGAGTGAGAGTAGAATTTATGCCAAGTTTTCTAAATAGTGCCAGCTCCCTACCCCTGCAGCTTCTGTCCTTGAATAAAATAGTGGCTTCTTTGTAAGTTCTGCATTTTGAGTGCTAATCTTACTCTTTCTTTCCTTGAGGCTCTGGTTAGTAGAACAGTATCTTTCTATGACATCGTGGGCTACTATTTGCATATTTCCATGTCTATTTTTATCCCTGTTTTACACCAGTTCTAATAGAAATATAAAGCAACTCATATTTACACAATTTTTAAAGCATACTGTCCAACCCAGTGTACCCAATTATCATTTAACTTGCAATCATTTTAAAATTGAGATTTTTACTTTTATATTCTTCACACCTAAATTCTAGTTGTTTTTTTTTTAAAGCAATGTCTCCAACACATGTCAACATAGAGCAGTAGTATTTCAAGTACTGTGTAGCCACATTTGGCTGGTGACTGCCCTATTAGAAAGAAGCTTTAGACTGACGATTCTCAAAGCTCTACATATCTCTCCACCATAGGAGGCCTAAAGGTGACACAGTCAGACAGACACAGGTCTATGCTGCCATGGTATATGGGTAACATTCAAGAGAGGTCGTCTAACGTTAATGGCACTACACCTCATTCCATCAGCTCCCACAGTCTGCTCTGCTCCCAGAAAACATAGCAGGGTGACATGCATCAAATAGATAAGACTGAGTGTAATCTCTTCGTCTCTGAAACAGACTAGAGTGGCGCTGTTCTTCTGGAGATGCAGATGGTAAAGGGGTGGGCGTGGGGGCAGGGCAAAAGGGTCCAGTACAGTTTAAAGAAGCTCCACCAGGGGGCCTTCTAGTCACAGTTGCATACTTGAGGATTGTGATGTACCACAACTCTATCACAAAATACTGTAATCAGAACCTCAGTTTCTAAACATAGTCAATTTTGGAACAGTAATTTTTATGAGAATGAAATTTTAAAAAATAAACCTTTCAAACATATCTCTGGCTATTTATTTGCAGACTGGGCATGGTTTTCCTCTCAGGAAATGTTACCACTGGCTTTAGCTGACAACCCAGGTCATCCAGTCAGTGGACATTTGTTCCAACACAGAAACCTCTACCATTCCTAAATCCTTATCAGACACTGTTCCACTTCTTCCTTCAAAGTTCTTGAGTTCATGAGGGAAGAAAGAGCATCTTAGGCCTAGTCTCTTCTACATTGATGTGGTGGTCAATTGCTGAATCAATTTTTGGCAGCTGGCTTTATTTTTCTGCTCTTAAAAGAGCAGAGTTAGCCAGAGAATGAGTCTAATGGCTTGGTTTACTTTTCTGCTCTCTTCTTGCTGGGCTTTTAGTTTCCCCATCTAATTATTTATTGTGGTTGTGTTGTATATCTTTATATAAAACATGCCAGGTCATTTGGAGAATGTGGTTAGTTATAAGGGGTAAGAACCTTTCCTGTGTGCTGGAATCATTTATGTAACAACACTCAAAATGACAAGCATTTACTGTTCTTAATAAAAGTCAAATATTCCAGTATAAAATAGATGCATTTCCAAGGGGTTTGAAACCTAAAGTAGTACAGGCATAAATATTGGTTTTCTCAGTTTGTATAAAATCCTTCAGCCATTGACCCAGATACAGTGAAATTATCCCTTATAACACATCAGTGGAAACAGCCAACCACCTTACATCACACAATGTATAAGCAACTGTAAACACACTTAATAGTCAGCAAATATTTACCAAAATATTAATAAAATACTTTAGGTTTCAAACCCCTTAGAAATACACCAGTTTTATACTGGAATATTTGATTTTCTTAGTACCTTTTACTTACTAAGAACAGCAAATACTTGTCATTTTGAGTGTTGATATATAAATGATTCAAGCACACAGGAAAGGTTCTTAGCAAGGTACTGGGGTTTGAGCTTAGGGCCTCACGCGCAACTTGCTTGGCTAGCATTCTACCATTTGACCCATGTCTCCAGCCTGGCCTTTTTATTAAGGGTCTTCTCTGCCTGGGCTGGCTTTGAACAATGATTCTCCAGGTTCCAGCCTCCTGAGTCATCATGCCTGGCTAAGATTTGCTCCTAAAACCTAGCTACTTGCACTCAGTGATAAGGGACCCTCTGCTACCTTAGACCCAGAATGTTAACAAAGCAGGAATGAAAGGGCAAGATTAAACTACCAGGCTTTACCGGGGGGGGGGGGGGGGGGGGGGGGGGGGGGAGGGAGGGGGAGGGGGGGGGGGGGGGAAGAAGAAGGGGGGGGGGGGGGGGAGGGGGGTCTGAAGTCTGGTCAAATGTTTTCAGAAGACAGTAATCCCAAGTGAGACTTGTACATGAAGAAAATCTCTTGTGACTATGACAGCTTGGGATAATACTTAATGGTTAATGGTTGAGATTGGAAACCAGCTTTGGCAATGTTTGACATTCCATCTTGACCAGTAGTTGAGCCATATACAGGTATCTTCCATCCCAAATCAGGGGAACACAAACAGGAATCTAGGCCAGTTTGGACATTAAGTTTGAAACCCTATTCAAAAACTAACAAAAGGGATTAGCAGTATAGCTCAATCGGTAGAATCCCTACCAGCAAGTATGCTAGCAGTCCAAACCTTAAGATATCTATAGAACCAAATTGGCCAAGGCTCAACTTGATTGGGATTAAGTTTGGCCAGTGAATTTTTTACAATCTGAATGTGCCAATTCTTTTTTTGGGGGGGTCTGGTCGTGGGGCCTGGGCGCTGTCCCTCAGCTCAAGGATAGCACTCTATCACTTGAGCCACAGTGCCATTTCCGGTTTTTTTCTTTTTGCTTATGTGGTGCTGAGGAACCAAACCCAGGGCCTCAGGCATGCAAGGCAAGCGCTCTACCACTGAGCCACCTTCCCAGCCCTGAATGTGCCAATTCTTTTTTGCCGGTTCTGGGCTTGAACAGTTTCACCATCAATTCAATTAAGGTTGACTGTTAGGATCCATCATGACCATCCCAGGGTGACCAGGCAGGAGGAAGGCGGGCACAAGAGAAAGATTATCATAAGGGAGTCATTGGCATCTGCCCCAATCCAGATGGGTAGCTCTGGGGGTAAGAGAGGGAGTGGAAACCATATATATATGGGGGAGGTCAGGTCTGGGTGGAGCTGAGGACCAGAGGTGGGGATAATGCAAATAGTCTCTACTACTAAAGCCATACCTCACTTGCAGTATTTTTGCTGGTTCCTTGGGAGATAAGTCTCCCAGCTTGCTCTGCCTGGGCTGGCCCCAAACTTGTCAGCCTAGTGAGAAGCTAGAATTACAAGCATTGCTTTTAAGGACTTGTACCTACTTCTCAGGTATTTCCTGTGTGCTTGAATCATTTAACATGCACAAAATGGCAAGCATCTTGCTCTTAGTAAGCTAGTAATAGCAAATGATATTATTTCAAAGACACCAGAAAGGATGTTTTTAAAAGTATATTTATTGAACTATAAACTATAAATGTACATTCAGTAAAATTCTGTTAGGACTTGATAAATGCAGTTATTCAAACCCACCAGTCATGCTGCAAATTCATTTTAAAAAAATCCTTTATACTCCCTTGCAATCAACTTGTCCATCAATAAAGGGGTGAAGAAGTCAAATCTGTTTTGGATAACTTGTCTTCAGGATCTTCAATTCTTTTAAGCACCAAGACCTATAAAAGAAATATCACAGCAGGTACTCAGATCTGCAGCTAATAAATCACCCTCTTGGTTGAGGTCTTTAACAATTCTCCCCATAATTATGTAAAAAGCAGAACTTAAGTGGTGATGTGACTACATTTAGTAAATTCCTGCTTATCAATTGGCCTCAGGTAAATCCTTTAACCCATCAGTATGGAAGCAAGTCCAGTCAGATTTGAGTTCTCATCCTTGGCCAACAATTCGACTTCACTATGAGGCAAACTCTTCCATTTGGCCCATACATACCTTATGACCACCAGGACTCTTCCACTGCACCTGGTAAAGAATGTGTCAGAGCTTTAGTTTTTCAAAAGAATGGCTTTTGTTATGGCTGTTAGCTGCCTTCAATAGAACTTTGGTACAAAGCCCTAACCTCCAAATTTCTGGCACTTGGGAGTTTTCTGATTTGCAGCTGAGTAAAATGAAGCAAACTAAGATCCTTATACTCTGAGTTCCATCCATCCAACTTTCTCTTTCCTTGTATTAACATCCAACAGTATCAAGTTTAGGAAAGTGAAACATTATACTGGCTACAGTAAAAACCGAATCATACCTTTTACAGCTCTACATGTAAAAAGCAGCAAGAAACTTGTTTGTCCCGTGGCTGATCCCAGGGGTTGAGAGCAGTTAATTGGATCCTTAAATAAACCCTGACTCACTGACATGCCTGGGACTGGCGCTCAGCTCAAGCCTCCCATGTGTCCAAGTTAAACTTACTTGGCTTGATAGGGATCCTAACCCCTAAAGCAGAGTTGTAAACTGAAGACCATTTACTGAATGGTCCTGTGAAGGGCTATTGGCCAGACACTGAGCTTTTCTGGACAGTCGTTTCCGTGTTCAGCTCACAGGCTGCAGCACTTGATGCTTTTCCTTGTTAACACCGAGGTCCCTCCCAGCCCCCTCCTCATTAGAAGGGAACTTAGCTGAGGAACACGTCAAGCCCAGGCTTTACACTGTCACGAAGTGGCAGAACAGCCCGACAGCCTCAGGTCTAAATTTAGACTCCTCCCCATTAAAAGAACGTACTCCAGTACAGCAATTTGTATGAGTTATAAACGCACGCTGATAGCTGCTCAAAAGGCAGATATCGCAAGGCTTAGACTCTCCACGAGACCCGGGCACTCTTGCTACATCTTGGTAGGCGTAATTAGGATATCTAGATCTCTATCCAGGTCATTCCAATGGTTCTGATCCCCCCACCCCCACCCCGGGACGGCACACCCAAGACGGGCCATTCACTGGCGGCTCCACGTTGGGAAGAGGCCTGTGCTCTACCCAAGATGGATCTGGGGTAGAAAGTGATGGGATCCGTGGCCCGCCTGACTTACCATGCAGAACAAGTACCCAAAGTCACCCCAAGCCTTCTACAAACTCCACGGCCGCGCCAAGTGGGCGCTGGCAGGCACTGGTGGTGTCGGGGCGACTGTGGGGGCGAGATTAGCTCCGCTTTGTCGCTAACTCTACAGTGGCACTGCTCGGGTGGGAACTCTGCAGGAAGCCTCAGACCTCTGACCTCCGCACCCACTTCACCCGGATTCCGGGGCCGCCGAGGGCCCCACGAGCGCCAAAGGCCTGGAGGCCACCCAGGGCCCTAGGGTCCCACCCTAGGGGGACCTCACCCAGGGGCTTCGCTTCGGAAGCCGAGGCCAAACTCCCGGCTCCGGGGTCGGGAGGAGGCAGGCGCCTGGGGGGAGGGTGGGGGGCGAGGCCCGAGGCCACGTGGCGGGGGCCCCACTCCAAGAGGCAGACTGACTTACCCAAGAAGGCTGCGCGGTCGAAAGGGGAGGGCGCCCGCGAGACCAAGTTTAAAACAGGCCTGGGTCGTAAGCACAGGGATGGGGGGCAGCCAACCAAAAAGTTGCTGGAG